GCCTTTCCTGGAACTCACTTGGGAGCCCAGGCTGGCCTCGAACTCACAGAGATCCGCCTGCCTCTGCCTCCCGAGTGCTGGGATTAAAGGCGTGCGCCACCACCTCCCGGCTACTTGTTGTTCTTGTAGAGGACCCAGCTCCAATTCCCAGCACCCACATGGCAGCCCATAACCGTCCATAACTCCAGTTCCAGGGGCTCCAATCCCTCTTCTGACTTGCTTGGGCACCAGGCTTTCAGGTGGTACAAAGACATACACACAACCACACACTCACACACATAAAATAAGTAAATCTTTAAAAAATAACTTAAAAAAAAAAAGATGAGTTGGTCGCATGGCAGTGGTGCATACCTTTAATCCCAGCACTTGGGAGGCAGAGACAGGTGGATCTCTGCGAGTTCGAGGCCAGCCTGGTCTACAGAGCAAGATCCAGGACAGGCACCAAACTGAGAAACCCTGTCTCAGAAAAACAAATACAATGAATCAGGCTGATGAGATAGTTCAGCAGGTAGAGGTGCGCATCACCAAGGCTGGCACCGAGTTCAATCCCTGGGACCTGTGTGATAGAACTGACTCCTTTAAGTTGTCCTCTGACTTCCAAACATGTGCCTTGGCATGCTCCTGCCCCATCCCAACAGAATAAATAAATAAATAAATAAATAAATAAATAAATAAATAAATAAATAAATGGAATGAAAATGGTCTTATAAACACAATACATAGATTTTCTACAATTTCTGCATTTCACCACATGTAAATTTTACCTAAAAATAAACAAATATTGAACCTGTATTGATGCTGATGTGCTTGGGGAGACGAGTATGATGTTTGCGATTTATTTTCAATGTGCACAGAGTGTATTATAGGTAGACAGAGGGATGGATTGGTGGACAGCTAGGTGACAAGTAAAACAGGCCAAAATGTTATCTGCACACTCTAGGTGGCAGGCTCACACATGGTTCTCTGAACTGTCCCCTAGGTTCAACTTTTTATAATTGAATTTTGTTTAAAGTTCCTTTAAAGTCATAGTAAAATTAAATCAATTTTAAAATCTGAGTTCTCAATGCACATACCCTCATCACTTACATGTGGAGATATATGTATAAAAGTAGATATGCAGGGTTGGTTATTTAGCTCAGTGGTAGAGCACTTGCCTAGCAAGTGCAAGGCCCTGGGTTCGGTCCTCAGCTCCAGAAAAAAAAAGTAGATATACATGCAGTTGTCATCATGTTTGTTATACATCCCTGTCATTTGGTGACATCTCCAAGTGTGTATGCAGTGACGATGTAGAATACGAAGGTGTCTCAATCCAGTCACACATGTACAAGAAGTATATGAAGAGTGAATGACTGGGACGGTTTTCTCGGGCAACATAATTATTGATGGGATAGTATGTGCTGGGCACTGGTCTCCACAGCTGTGGTGCATCAGTGAAGAAACTAAACCAAAACAAATCAATGCTCTCGAGAAGTTTACATTCTGGTGAGGGAAGATAGATGACTGAAATTAATTACTTAATTAGAGTAGGTGATCCAAGTTGGAGCAGAGCAGGGTCGATACCATATGCTGATTTTTCCCAGACTGATAAGGGCCTGGGTAGGAAGAGCAGCAGGCTTTAGGGTTTCAAAGTGAATACTGTGGGGGGCCACACTGTAAAGAGAGCTCTTGAGTGCAGGCTTGAAAGAGATGAAGAAGCAAGCCATGTAGCTAAGGATCCAGGCAGAGGGACCAGTCCGCACCCAGCCCTTGAAATAAGGTGTGCTTGACAGGTTTCCAGGAGCAGCAAGGAGCCATGGGACAAATCTGTGACAGGAACTGAGGGCAGGAGGCTGATGAGACTGGTAGAGTTCAGATCATGAAAGGCCTTGTAAGCCAAGGTATGGACTTCACTTTTCAAAATGGGGAATTAGTGAAGGGTCCCGAGCAGACAAGAGAGGACCGGCTTATATTTTGAAGGGGTAGGGAAGAAAGAGAGGATCTTTGAAGGGCTATTTCAAGAATCCTCTGGTGCACAATGGCGCCTCATGCTAAGTTAGCAGTAGTGAAGGTGGTGAGATGTGGGGGGGGGGCGCTTAGAGACATGTAACATGATGTCTCTCCCAAAACAGAGGTCCTTGGGACCTTCTCCTTTTCCATGCTCAAATGCCTCAAGGGGGAAGTTGTATTGCTGAGTATCTGCCATGAGCCTTTCTCTGGCTTAGAGTCGTCCCTGCATCTGGTCTTGAGTCGCACAGCTCTGAAGGAACCCCAGGGTGGATGTTGAGTGCCGCTCACCTGCTTGGTTAGATTCTTGGTTCTGTGAAGGGTCCATGAGAAAGGGCCTGAAAAGGGTATCGGGGTCAGTCTCTAAAACAGCCTGGGACCCAACCCAGAGAGTCTGGCTTTCATACTCTTGGCACTGAGGAGGTGTAGTCATCTTCTAAACAGGGAGGGTGACTTGTCCCAAATGCCAACTGAAGGTAACTTTGGGGCAGAGATGGGCTGTCCGAACCTAGCCACCTCTATGATTCACACATGGTTCATCCCCTTCATCTCGATCGCCTGCTTGCAGCGCCAGGTCCACCTGTACACAGAGTAAATGGCTCATGATCTAAGTTCCCCTAAGGGCATATGGGGACTTGGCCAGTGTAGAAAGGCCTGCTGGCCCAGATCTCCTCTTTATCTCACTTACTTCATTGTTCAGGACAGGAGTATATCACACCTTATGATGATCCAGGATCCTGTCAGGGATACTTGTTTGCTTTGGGTTCTGGTTTCATTCTTGAGACAAAGTCTCACTATATAGCCCAGGCTGGCCTCAACCTCACCGTCTTCATGCCTTGGCCTCCAAACTGCTAGGATTAGAGACTACTACTACAACTACTGCTACTACTACTACTGACATTCTTGAGCAGCTTTCATGGACCATCCTCATTTGGGAAGAAAGCTCCATGTCCATAAACACTGAGAAAGATGGACAGAGCAGACACAGTACGGTGAGTAAAAGGCTGGACCCAGGGACCTGGTGTTGCTGGTTCAAGGGGAGAAGAGTCACTGTGATGTCCAAGAGTCCAGCTTTGTCTTAGTGGAAAGGAGGGATTTGGAACACAGGAGGAGGAACACTCTGTAATAACACCATTGGTGAAGGGGCCCATGGCAAGCAGGTCCCATGATGAGTAGTCAAGCCAGCTGCTGGTTTGGGAAATGTATTCTGTCAACCCTGGGTTTCCAGAGACTTGTTCCAGGGGAGATTGCAGCAGAGCAGTAAGGGGAATGCTGAACAGAAGATTCTGGACTCAACACACCATCTTGCAACAAAGCACCTAATTAGATGGATGTGGTGGTACACACCTTTCATCACGGTACTCAGAAGGCAGAGGTGGTGGATCTCTGTGAGCTCAAGGACAGTCTGGTCTACATAGGGAGTTCCAGAACAGCCAGGACTGCATAGAGAGATCATATCTCACAAAACAAACAAAAGAACAGAGTGCCGGTTCTCTGTTAATCTATTTAACTTTGGAATTACATGAAAGATTGCCTTTGACAAAATGGTCAGAACTGAGTATTCTGTGATACCCTTTGGGGGTCCAATGGAACAAAGATTTGTACTTCTCCAATAAGAAGGGGCTGTTTCAGTGGTGAGCTGTGGGCCAAGTAAATGGAGACCCAGGACACTCCCAGGAACCAATGTCAAAGGCAGCAAATCGATCCTTGCTGAAAGGAAGAACTGCTCACTGGAGAGAAAGAGGACATGGAGCTTGAGTGATCACACCTTCCCTGCAACAAGCCACCCCTGACAGAGAGGCCTCATTCATGTCAAATCTGGCCCTGAGAAAGTGTATTGTTCCCAACATTTCATGCACTTGTTGGCCTGACCCTGCTCCCTAACCTCCCATTCTGCTGTGGGAACTCTCTGGGTGGTCCAGATCTCACTATTCTCCTAGCTAAGCTGCTAACACAGGCCATGGAAAGAGATGCTCGCTGATATTTGTTATAAAAATGCCCAAGTAGATGAAGGCTCAGCCGAGGAGACACTGAACAAGCCTCTTGGTTTCCTCATTTGTAAAGAGGAGATGATAAGCAGCAACAGATGGCCAGTCAGTTTGTGAACTGT